GGCTCTCAGAAGACACGAACCAGTAACACGAGGGCCAATAAAGGACTGGAAGACGCCCTTCGCTTGGGTCCTTCCCCCACGGACAAATCTCTTCTACTGAAGGACACACGTCCAGGAAATGAGCTTAATTAGGGGAAATTTGGAGCCATCCTCAAACAATTCTCTGGCCAAAATCCAATCTCTACCATCTCGAAATCATTTTTATATTCTTCTGTTTCGGTAGGGAGCAGGAACGATGTATTATCTGGATTGGCAGATGGATTTGCACATGTTCTCCGCAGGGAAGATAGAAAAAGAGAAGATTGGTCGAGCCTGAAAATGAAGACAGAAAGAGAAAGGGGGAGGGTTGTGACTCGGGGCGAAAGAAAAAGAACAGTCCGACGTCATAGATGAAGAAGAAGAAGAAGAAGAAGAAGAAGAAGAAGAAGAAGAAGAAGAAGAAGAAGAAGAAGAAGAGGAAGAAGAAGAGGAAGAAGAAGAAGAAGAAGAAGAAGAAGAAGAAGAAGAAGAAGAAGAAGAAGAAGAAGAGGAGGAGAAGGGGAGGAGGAGGAGGAGGATGAAGAGGAGGAGGAGGAGGAGGAGGAGGAGGAGGAGGAGGAGAAGGAGGATGAGGAGGAGGGGGAGAAGAAGAAGAAGAAGAAGTAAAACAACAACAATAACAACAACAACAACAATATCAACAACAATAACTAATAACAGCAACAACAGCAAAAACATCAGCAGTAGGAACATGAACACCGACAACAACAAAAGCAAGAATAAAAAGAAAAACACATGAAATATTTTTAATGCCAATTTTTAACAAGTTGAATTTATCGTTACTATATCATCAATACCATCATCCGCATCACCATCATCATCCTCAAATCATTACTAGTATGATCATTATTTCACAGTTATTGTTACTATCATTATGATCATCATTACTATATTATCATCAGAACCCACAGCACCATGTTCCTGCTGAAATCGCTGGCCGTTCTCCTGTGCGTTTACCTCTCGGAGCAGAGGGTGTCCCGTGGTTCCTCCGATTGTGACATATGGGTGCATGAGGGTGGAGCCACCGCGACTATTGCGGAAAACTGTAACTACGGCAGGGTATACTGGTCCTATCCAGAGTCAGGTATGTTAGAATGTTTGAATGCTGAGTTTAAAAAGAAAGAGGCACATCGAAATAATAACGGTTATTTAGTGCAGTGGAAAAGTAAGACAGACGGACAGACAGAAACTTTGGAAGTTATATCTAGACGTTTTAATGTAATAATACTACAACATATGTTTGGCTTGCAATATTCTTGTAATATTTATTTTTTTACTTTGAATTACTAATTTTTTATATGATCAGTTTTCATTCATGTGTTAGTAGCATTATGATCATCATTACTCTCTCACCAGAACGTACATACATTAAAAAAAATACTAGCACACATGCGCATACACGCACACACACACACACACACACACACACACACACACACACACACACACACACACACACACGCACACAAACAAAAACACAAACACACACATACACACACATAGATCTATACACACACACACACTTACATACATACATACATACATAGTCACACACCACGCTTCGAGTAATTTAAGCATTATAAATTGTCAGAAATTTCTTACCTGCTATGTTTAGTCCTTAATCTCATAAGGATGAATCAACCCTTTTCCCTATTTCGTTTATTTTTTGTTTGCTTTCCTTGCTCTGTGTGTGTCTTCTCCCCGTCTGAAGCTCATAACAAACATATACACGGAGGATAGATAGATAGATAGATAGATAGATAGATAGATAGATAGATAGATAGATAGATAGATAGATAGATAGATAGATAGATAGATAGATGCAATGAATGGGATCAATGAATGAATACACACAAAGAAGACCCACATTCCCATTGAGTTTCTGTTTGACAATCGATAACATAACTATCTATTTCCAGATCTGAAGATCAACTTTAAAAACAATGTCTGTGTGAGTTTCTCTGATGAAGGCATTGTGAGCGAAGTAAGTGTCCACTCTACTGTGCTGTGTATCTTCCCATTGTAGTCTTCATTTATTAGATTATTATGTACCTTTGGTGCTATACTTTAATATTTCAGGATGCAGAGATTTCCTGTGGTCTCAACTGACATACTGCATGTTGAATCATTTTGCTACTTCAGAATTACAAATTCCTATTTACTCAATACCTAGATTTGAGAAGTTTGACGTGAACATTTTTGAGTTTCACGATATGCCAAGCTTTTTCAAATTCAAATTTGAATATCTCAACCCTGGCTCCAAATGTTCTAACAAAATTTGCAAATTCATGCAAATTTAATTTGATAGAGCAAATAGAACATAATTTGCTTTCTGTAACTAAAAACGGCCAAAACTGTTAGATACAGCTTTGTAATACTGAGGTAGCAATTTTGTATAATGCGCCTGTGGGGGAGGAAGAAGGGGGAGGTGGGGTGTGGGGGAGGTTTCTTGTGTTCAAGAGGTACGGTGTTCGCCTCGAACTCAGAAGGTCCTGGGATCGAAGCCTGCCCGTGAAAGATGTTCTGCTCCAAAATGTTCTCCCTTTCTTGTTCTTTACTCCTATTTTGTCATGTGCTTTCTTTGCATGTATGTATTCGTGCCTATTTATGTGTTTGTGTGTGAGTGTGAGTGTGAGTGTGTGTGTCTGTGTGTGTGTATATATGTGCAATGATAATAAACATAATAATAATAATGATGATGATGATGATGATGATGATGATGATGATGATGATGATGATGATGATGATGATGATGATGATGATGATGATGATGATGATGATGATAATAATAATAATAATAATAATAATAATAATAATAATAATAATAATAATAATAATAATAATAATAGTTATAATGATAATGATAATGATAATTATAATAATTGCATCTATATGTCGCATATCCATGCTCTTCAGTCAGCCCTGTGTGTTTTAAAAGTCAGTATTATAACCCCAGCAGACCTTAGAACACTCAGAAACACTCAGAAATACTCAGAAACACTCTCGGCTTCCTGTGAAACCCACAGTGCAATCTGAGGTTTGCACACGCTCAAACACTAAAAAACTGACGAGATCTTGTACAACGTCGGACCTCTAACGGGATTCGAACCCACGACCTTACGGTTGCTAGTCCGAGAGCTTACTCTCGTGGCCATCGACGCAACGTGATGTGTATGTTTGTTCAAGTGTGTATGTGTTTGTGTTTGTGTGTGTGTGTTTGTGTGTGTGTGTTTGTTTGTTTGTGTGTGTGTGTGTGTGTGTATGTGTGTGTGTGTGTGTGTGTGTGTGTGTGTGTGTGTGTGTGTGTGTGTGTCTGTGCATGTGTTTATGTGTGTGTTTGTGCGTGTATGTGTGTGGGAGTGTATGTGCGTGTATGTATGTGTGTGTTTGTGTGTATTATCATGAGTGTGTCTGTTCAAGTTATTTATCATGTTTAGATTATCTACCACAAAACCTTTTCCTGCCTGTGGGTGGTTGGCGGGTGCTCCGGTGTGGTTTGCTCCTTCTTTCCTATCAAACATCTATCATCCTTATCTCCCCTTCTTCTTTTTCTTTATGTTTGTTACTCTCTTGTAACACCTCTAATCTTCTGGCGCTCATACGACCTTATGCAGTTGCGAGCGCCGTAAAACCTCTACTAAAACTATACTGTTTCTGCCTGACATTGTCTCAGATCTCCGACGTCTCGGACGGGAAAGGAAAGACCCTCACCTTGCCAGCCCCTGGTTCCTCCGTGTGCACCAGCGCTAGTGGTGGTGACGTCATCCTCAAGCTCACAGCGACCAAGGGCAACAATGCTAACAGTGTGTACATTAAATACAGCATTAAAATGTAAATTTATGCAAACAACCGTGTAAACTGCTGAACTATAGGGATGATTTTGATAATGATAATAATAAATGACATTTATTTTGCGCTCAACCCTGATTAAAGCGCACAGGCTCTGGACGCTTTACAATACAGTACAACGTACAACAGTAAACTGTTTCGTCTTAACCTCCTGTTTGTGATAGAAATTTCCTTTTTTGTGCTATTGTATGTTTGAGGTATGAAATAAATTAACTTTGGGATTTAAAAGGTTTTCAAAGTATTAGTATGTTTGGGTTATTTGAGTTATGAAATAAATAAACATTGGGAAAAATTGAACAACAAGTCCTCTGTCTGATTGTTCTGTTATACAAAGACTGTTGTTGTTTCATTGTTTGAGTGCATGTTTTAGTGATGCTGCTGTTGTTGTTGTTGTTGTTGTTGTTGTTGTTGTTGTTGTTGTTGTTGTTGTTTAAGCAGTATTTCCATTGCTAAATAAAAGCGTGCAAAAAAAATTACAAAACTTTATCAAGCTCAATTTCAAGAAGGACGAAAACTTTGAAGATCAGTTTTCATAGCAAAATCGGGAACAGATCACTTAAACACCTCGCCTCACTCGGCAGCCTCGATTTCTCCAAAGACTAAACATACGCTACTATTTTAAACTTTAAAAAAAATAAAGATTCTGAGATTTCAGATTGTAGATTCTGGTAAGATTTGTCGGCCATTTTCAGATAGGCCTGTCATACGACGTTACAAAAAAGATAATGATTGAGTTTGCTGCACACCCGTCACAGCCACCTAAACTGAAAGTTGTACAGAGTTGGGACGTTAAAGAACCCTTGGTTGGCTAAAATCGATAAGAGTAGGCTTCGGCCGCCACCCGGGCAAAATTCATAATTCCCTCCGAACTGACAAAGTTTAATGTGTCCCGTTCGCTCATATGACCTTATGCCGTTGCGAGCGCCGTAAAATGATGTTACAACTAAACGTGGCTGAAAACTTTCGATGTATCTTAATTAGAAAGTTAAAGTACTGTCAAACTCGGATGATCTGTTTTGGGTTTCAAGATATTGTTTTATGAGTTTCGTTTTTCCTTATTTTATTGCTCCTCGAAGCGTATCCATTTCAAAAACAACTCACAATGAAAGAGAGCCGTACAACATTTAAACTCAAACAACATTTGGTCACCTTCTTGAGTATCCTGTTCTTTTCAATTCTTAAGTCTCAACTCATGGTACTAGTTCGAGATCAAAATATGTTGAATTTAGAAAGCGCAGAAAAGCCCTTAATTTAAATATAATTGCTTAATTGAAGTAAAATCCAAAAAATGCAGCTTAGCCCCTTTCAGCTGTCATTTTAAAATAGTTACCTTACATTGAAAAAGATTATTTGGTTGTTATTCTGATTCTATTTTTTTCTCCCAAGATTATTCAACTTCCTTCCCACCATTACTCTCCAATCTCTAGCCTACTTTGTTTTTATTTCTCTGCCCTTATCAGCAAGGAATTCTCTTTCCTGTGTCTTTTCTCCTATCGCATAATAGCACCCTTTGGTGACAATGTCCTCCTGTCGTTAAAGCACACAAGAAAAAGAAATTTTTAAAAAAATCGGGCCGTGTCGGAAAATTGATCAGGAACAAAATGGTATTGACCCAATGTTTTCAACATTACCGACTGTGCTGTGAGGCCAGACAATATCGGGGAAGGAGGAAATCTCGCGTTTTCATAACCAGAAACTCTCGTGAAAACTGCTATCTTTGGACCGACTCCCGGAACAACAGGATACCGGAAGAATAACATTACCACATCAAGGGTCAGGGGAAGGCTTTCATTGCTTCCGTTGGCTGGAAACTCGCAGAAGCAACAGAAGTGTCCTGTGAACCTCCTAAACTAATAATGTCCTGTCTTGCTGACTCTTTTTTCAGGGGTTTTTTCCTCGATTCTACTTCCACGCGTCTCTGCAATCGTGTTATCATGAATATCTATCTATCTCTCCTCTATATCTATCTATCTATCTATCTATCTATCTATCTATCTATCTATCTATCTATCTATCTATCTATCTATCTATCTATCTATCTATCTATCTATCTATCTATCTATCTATCTATCTATCTATCTATCTATCTATCTATCTATATCAATCTATCCATCTGTCTATATTATACACACGCACACACACGCACCACCCCCCCCCCCACACACACACACCGACTAAATAAAGGAATGGTAGCAATAGATGTCTAACAAGCTACAGCTCTGCAAGTCACAAAGGGGAATGGTATAGTAAATTGAAATAAACAGACCGATATATTAAAGAAAGTCATTATGAAATCCTGAGAGCATCCAAGGCTGTACACGACTATGAACAGTTCATTTGTCTAGATGTGTATCAATCAATACAATTTTTGTCTACCTGCCTGTTTATATTTTGTCTATCGGTAGTTCCACCTATCCATCTAAAAATAGTCATATATAGTGTTCCCTGTATTGACTGTTATGACTAATATTATTTCATATATATGTAATGTGTGACATTTGTTAACCACTCCCAAGTCCCATTTTCCCCTCTCAATCTCCTTCCATTTTATTTCTAAGTCGTTCACTTCCGTCCCTTTACTCGGTCTATTGACCCTCCTTCCCTCCACCTCCTCTTCCTCTTACTCCTCCTCCTACTCTTCCTCCTACTCCTCCTACTCTTACTACTCCTCCATCATTTTTTCCTCAATACTTATGGAAACACTATCCTTATGTTCTGCTCTCAGTAATGAATGCGTAAATAAAAACGCCTTCCCCTAGACTGAATTCTATCCATCACTGTCTGACACTCAGTCTCCCTAAATTAAGAAAAGATGTATAGCAAGAAGCGAAGTGTTGTTCTTCTTTTGCCATAGTCGATAGGTACAATTGCTGCTGAAATATTTGTGGGGAAAAGGTGGAAGAAGGGGGCGGGGGAGAGAGAGAGGGAGGGGAGGGTGAGAGAGCGAGAGAGAAAGAAAGAGAGAGAAGGGGAGAGATAGAGGAGAGAAAGAGAGAGAGGGGGGAGAAAGAGTGAGAGAGGAAGAGAGATGAGAGAGAGAGAGAGAGAGAGAGAGAGAGAGAGAGAGAGAGGGGAGAAAGAAAGAGAGAGAAAGAGGGGGGGGGGAGGTAAGATTGGGTTGGGTCGACGAATAGCGACAGTTATCGCGCCAATTTGCTCCAGAACGCAACTTGGCTTTCCTGGTTAAAGGCGGTTAACGAAGTGGCCGCCAAATTCAATCAAGGAACATTTTGCTTAGCGCTGGTTCCGCGAGTAAGGCAACGAAAAAAAGGAGCCCAAAATGTACATCCATTATGTCAACACAATAGCTATGAATTTTCTTCCAACACAAAATTTTCGAGTTTTATGCAAACACATACTGATCAATAAACACGTTCATATAAATGAGGTCGATTTCCCGAGTCGACAACTTCTTTTTTCCCTTACAAATCAAGTATATTCTGGTTGTCTGACGTGTGAGAACGCATGTATTGATAGCCGTTGTCGATGACTACAGTTCACAAAATGTATTTTGATTTACCTCAGTGTTTTCTTTTTTTTTTCCTTTTGCGTGATGCACTTTTTAAAATATTTTTTTGAAAGTGTTTTACAGCGCTCGCAACTGCATAAGGTCATATGAGCGCGCAGGACACACCAAACATTTTAAGTTGGTAGGAAATTTTGAATTTTGCCCGAGTCACGGTCAAAGCCTACTCTTATCGATTTTAGACCACCAAGGGATCTTTAGCGTGCATAACTTTCACGCAGGACCTTCAAGTTTTTTGCACTGGTCCAAGAAGGCTAGGTATAGGTCTTTCCTTCCAGAAGATCAGGGGTGTGGCTGAAAGACAGCAATAAGAAGGAGCCAAGGAGTAGCAGTAGAAAGGCCGCAGAAAGAGTCAGGAGATCAGTGGAGAGGGCAAAGGAGGTGAGGGGGTGGGGGAAGAAAGTGGAGACGAAAGCAGACAACAGAATATTGCAAGAGAAAAGGAAAGAAGGTGAAAAGAGAAAATTATAGAGAAGAAATTTTTCGTTCTCTACTCGGATTCGAACCAGGGACCGTTAAATGAGAGGCGAACACCTAGAGGTTACTCTAGGACACCAGAGCCCACGTGATGCACTTTGATAACTGAAAATGATCGCTGCTTTAAATTACGATTCACAACTGAAAAGTGTCCAAATCTATAAGATCAATACTAGAAATTCTGAAAATTTAAAGGGCTATAAAGACAGAGCTTACACGATTTGCACAGAGATTGGAGAGAGAGAAAATGGATCTTAGCTTTTAGCTTTCTGGAAATGTTGTGAGAAAAAGCTACGGATTCAAGCTACTCCGCTCTCTCTCTCTTTCTCTCTCTCTCTCTCTCTCTCTCTCTCTCTCTCTCTCTCTCTCTCTCTCTCTCTCCTCACTTACGAGAGCTTACTTCATTGTATACCGGTGCATCTGTTTTTTTGTTTGTTTTTTTTGTTTGTTTTTTTTGTTTAGGTATTTTTACGCCCCCTCAACACCCATTAGGTCATTTTAGAGACTGGCTTTAACCCTTTGACCAACACGGGCTGAGAGTGATGAGTGATACAGCGTCCTAGCAGAGAGGCCGTTTTTTTCGATAAACGTTCCCCAACACGCAAATCGAACTCGGGTCTTCTGCTTGCGACAACGAAGGACCTAACCACACGTGTGTTGTGTGCTCTCGTGGCCTAGTGGTTAGGGTGTCCGTTTCTCATTCAAAGGTACCGGGTTCGAATCCGTTTAGCTACCAAAAAATTTTCTTCCCTAAAATTGTCTCATTTCACCTCCTATCCTGCTCTCCAACAATGTTCTGTCGTCTGCTTTCGTCTCCAATATCTGCTCCTACCCCTTCACCTCCTTTGCCCCCTCCTCTGGGTTCCTGACTCTTTCTGTAGCCTTTTGCTACAGCTTCTCCTTGGCGCCTTCTTACTGCTGCTGTCTTTCAGCCACACCCCTGATCTTCTGGTAGGACCGATCTACACCTAGCCTTCTCGGACAAGGGAGAAAAATTTCGAAGGGCCCATGTGCAAGTTGCGCACGTTGAAGATCCCTTTATGGTCTAAAATCGATAAGAGTAGGCTTCGGCCGCGACCAGGGCAAAATTCAAAATTTTCTACATACTGAAAATGTTTTGTGTGTCCCGCGCGCTCATATTATGAGCTTATGCAGTTACGAGCGCCGTAAAACACTTACCAAAACAAAACAAAAACACGCAGATGCAGCCTGTGTCAGTTGTTGCTGATGATTTTGTCATAGGAGAGTAAAAGGTGTGTGTGTGTGTGTGTGTGTGTGTGTGTGTGTGTGTGTGT